TGTCACTTATAATATACATACATAATCTTAACATTATAATTATATAAGTATAGAATATATATACATAATATTAATACTATAATTAACATTATATATAACTTTAAAATGTAAAATGTGGCTGTGTCATTAAAATTATTATTTTTTAAATACATTTGCTAGGTAGTGAGATGGGGACACCAAAGGCAAGAGTGCCTCGGACTTACCAAGGTCTTAAAAACAGTACCAGCCCCACCTGCTCCACAGAGCAGCCCTGCTCTGGGCCTGTGGGCTCCTGACAACCCTGGAGGAAAGGGAAACCACCCTCAGATGAGAGGTGCTCCCTCGTTGGTGTACCTCTCAGTTAGCAGCAAGAAGATGACACACACTTATTTCTCTCTAGATTATCCTGCCTCCCCAGTGAGTAGTTCTGAGTCCCATGTTAAAATGAAAATCTAATTGCATGCCATTTACTAGTGAGAAATGAAGAAGGAACAGACACTTAGGGCTCAGTTTAGGGCCTGTCGGGAGGATCAGGGACTAGGACCCTATGTTGGAACCCCTGTTCTATAGCTTCTTGGAGGCCAGATGGCGGCCACGGTGCCCAGCACACCTGACAACTTGGGCAGCCAGGGCCCCTGGGGTTGCTCCTCACTTAGCCCTGTCCTGGTCTTCCCTCCCGTCACTTCACAGCTGGGAAAATGGAGGCCCACCGTAGATCGCTAATGAAGTTGAGCTCCTACCATGTGACAAGCACTTCAAATACATATTTGTGATTTCCTTTCATCTTTATAGCAGGTAGACAAGGTGGTATGACTGTCTCCACTTGTCCCCATTGTACAGAGGGGAAACTGAGACTTAGGACTGAAAGTGGCCTGCTCAAGCCAGAGTAAGTGTGGCAGGGCTGGGACCAGACCCAGGTGTCCCATTCCGCTTCCCCGTGTGTATGCTGCATCTGACTTCCATGTCTTTGCTCTTGAGATTTCCCCTACCTGGGGATCCTTTCCTTGCCACTCAAATTCTTTGAGTGTCTTAAAAATGCATTGAATCAAGATAAATAAGTTTTTAGTCAATGTACCCAAACTTTACAATACAAAACAAATCTTAGAACACTCCCCTCTTCACTCTAAGAGCAGCTCTTTCTGGGTCTCCTCACTGTCCATTATCACATCCTGACTGCCTCCGGATCTCCTCCAAGGTCTTGTCCCCTTACTGCTTTGCTTGTGCAAGTACCTTTTCAACTCCTTGAAGACCCCCTTACTCAACCAGAATGATGTCTAAACTTCTACCATTAGAATGGCATCTCTTGAAGCTTTCAGTTAAGGTGCACCCACCTCCCAAACTGGGCTACATACGGCGGAGCGGGTGGCAGGGGGAGCTGAAGTCCTACTGCTTCTGTGAGAAGGCAGGAAGAACGTGAGATCAGGTTTGGCTGAGGGATGGGGTGCTAGGAAGATGATGGCAAAAGGGTCCCTGGGAAAGGTGAGCAAGGAAGGCAGAAGGGCTTATGGTGTCCTAAGCATAGTGCCAGGCCCAGAAACAGGCAGTGGCCGGAAAGGCCAAGGCCTCCACAGCTTCAGCCTCCCCTGCAGCCAGGTCCTCACCTGCTCCCCGGGCCATGTGACTCTCCCTAGCTCCTATGGGGGCCTCACCTGCCTGGTATCCAGCCCCTGCAAACCTCCCACCCTCCAGCAGCTCCTGAAGGCACTCAGGCCTCTAGTTATCTGAACTCTGACTCCCTGGTGCTCAGGGCTGGGAGCTTGGCCGGCACCCCAGATGCCTTCCCTCTAGGAAAGAGAACCATGGGTGTGTGTAGATTTGCCTGTTAGTTTGGTAGGGAAATGAGGCTTCCTGGAAGCCCGAGTCTGCAAATCTAGGCTGAGAGGGTCCCCTGGCGAGGCTCTTCTCTCTGAAGCTCCCCCACCCGCGTAGGCTGTGAGCTTCCTGCCGCAGGGGACAGGCCCAGTCCTTTTCAGGAGTTTCAGCATCACTAAACACCAGCAGAGGCAAAGAGCAGGCTGGGGATGTTAGTTAAACGAATCAGCTGCCATTCTGAGGACTTACCGCCCACACGCATCAGGGGCTGTGCCAAAGCTTTGCATTTGTTATCTTGTTTAAACCTCAGAGCCGCTCTAGGAGGTAAATGCTATTATTATGCTGCATTCTACAGATGAAGAAACTGGGGCACAGGAAGGCTGGGGGACCCGCCCGATGTCACATATCCCCTCCTTTATTTAGGAGCTCCCCCCGCCCCCGCACCACTGTTCTCAGCAGCCCTGTCAGCGTGGTGCGGGGCTGTGTGGAAACACATGGACGGCCTTCTCCCTGGCGGTGGTGGGGTCCCCCGTGGGAGCTGTTCATCCTGGTCAATGCAGCCTCTGCTCTGAAGTCGGTCCTGCTCTCCCTCCTCCCTGTCCAACCCTCCAGCGCTCAGCCCCTCCAAAGCTCCAGTACTACGCCCTCTCCGCGTGAACTCCATTCACCTCCCGTCGAGGCTAACAACCTCCAGATACACTCCAGGTTTAGCGAGACCCCACTGAGTTTGCCTTGTGTCCCACACTCCCAAATGTTGGAGCCATCTCTGCTAGCACTCTGCCCCAGGCCCAGCAGGCCTCCATTTGTGCCATTTGTGGTGGCAGGGTTGGTTAGGGTGGCTTCTCTAGCAGGGCTGGGGAAGATAAAAATATGTTACCCTCAAAATGGTAATGCTTGCACTAACCAGAGTGGGCTGTTAAGCCCACAGGTTGAAATAGAGCCCTAAGGGAAGGGTGAGGTCAGCTGTAATGGCTGGAAAAGTCAAGAGATCTTTGAGTATGGAGCCTGAAAAAAGCTGAGCCTCCACTGGCCTGGGAGCTGTGCCTCATGCCGCTGATACACTTCAGAGCAGGCCGGGCAGGGCCTTTGTGTAGATCACCCCACCATCCGTTCCTTCATTGTACAGGTAGGAAACTGCAGCCCAGAGAGGGCACAGACGTGCCTAAGGACACACAGCATATCAGGTGGTAAGGTCTACTTTCCTCTCTGGCCTCCCCACAGGACTGTGAGTGCCCCCTGTGGCAGGCCAGGGTCTTAGCCAGCTCTGTCTTCCTGGGGTCTGAGAGACACAAAGGCAGTGTGTGGCTGGGTGCTTCATTAGAGGCCTCTCACCCCGTCTCTCTCTGGGGAAACTGGCCTAGGATGAATTGCTGGCTCTGTGCCCCCGGGGGGTTTGCACAGAGGCTGGCCATGTGGGAGCAAGTTCACTGCCCAAATTTCCTCTTTTTAGTAAACAGCAGCCACTTCCTCCTGGGTTGGCCACTTCCTTCTGGTCACTGGGTTCCTGAGAGGCTCGAGGGGGCAAGGGCTCACATGGGCAGGCAGGGCAGACCCTCGGGCACCAAGCTCGCCCATACTGGACACGAGGAGGCACATGGGCTGGGTAAAGCTGTCCTCTGATCACAGGACGTTGACCTTTAACCTAAGAGACCTTGGGAACTGCAAAATGTCAGTAAGCCATTGAAGAAGGAGGGGTCCAGGGAATTAGGAGCCACCAGAGGCAGCCCCAGAATTTCCGTGAAGGAGAGTCTTGAAGGGGGTGATCTGGTTAGAAAAGTGGGGGTAACTGAAGCTTCATTTGTTTAGCATTTTACATAAACTATAAAAATTGAACAAATTGAACATGGAGGGAGGTGCTAAGAGAGACGAGATAAAGGTCCATCGTGTAGCAGGGCAGTGCGGGGCAGGGGGTGGGAGAGATCTGGAGGGTCGAGCGGGTGTTAGGGTTGGTCCTGGAGGCTCTATAGAAGCTTGGAAGGCTTGGGCCATTTCTTCTTGGCTCAGCCCTCCAGGGGCCCCTGCTGAGATGTTACTGCTGGCTTTGAGGCCTCCAAACTTTGCCCCTCTCGCTGGGATCTCAGGGCTTGTGGCTGAGCAGTCTCCTCAGTGGGCCACATTCTGGTCCTGGCCAGAGTCTCGCAAGGGCCAGGAAAGTTAGTTATCCCTTAGATACTGCAGGTCCAGCTTTCAAGGGGCCTAGGAAATGTTTATAGCCTAAGAAAAATATATTGGTCCCAAAACCCAAGAAAAAGATGAAAATCAAAATTAATACACATTTCATTAAAACATCTACAAAGTGTAACGTTATGTCAACTTCATAGTCACAATATAAATGTCCCTCCCTTAGAAAACAATTAACAAGCTGAGTTTTTCTCACTCAGCCAGGCCCCCACTCTTGAAGTTGTTGTTGAGTTCAAATGAGTTAATATATGAAGCAGGGGTAAGTAATATGTGCTATTTAAGTTGTGATCCTTTTAAAATTTCATCATAGCTTGTACGCAACACAGTATACATTTACCTGATTTTTTTCTGTGTGTATTATTGCTCTCCCTTACTAGACTAGTATCTCCATGAGGGCAGGGAAATGATTGGCTTGTTCACTGCTGTATCCGCCAGTGTCTGGAACTGTACCTGGCACATAGAAGGCGCTCAGTAAATGTTTGTTGAATTCAGTGAACAAACCAAAGTCTAGAGAGGTGGGAAATGCTTTGGCTTTCATTCACGCATTCTATAAATATTTACTGAGCACCCACTCAGCTCCAAGCAATAGGCTCTCTCATTTTTGCAATACTAGTCTGTGAATCTGGCAGGGCAGAGATTTAAAAATACAGTTTTGTAATAACTTACATAGACTAAAAATGCACAGTTTTAAGGGGACACTCGATGGGTTTTGAGAAATGCATTCTCTCGTGTAACCCACACTCCCACAAAGAAAAAGAACGTTACAGCCCGGCAGCTCAGGGTTTTGAGCCCCTCGTCACAGCAAGGCATTGATAGCATGTGTGACTCGCCCAGATCTCTCCTCTGGGGTGCTTTCCGGGGACCCTGGGCCGAGGCGGGCGCTCCCGGGGGCGGGCGGGGGCGGGACTACAAGTCCCAGGCTGCTTTGCGCGTCCGCACAGTCGTGC